CCTATTCCAAGATGAAATACACACTACAGGCTTAATAAATGTTAGATGAGTAAGAGAGAGACAGAAAGACAGAGAGATTGATTCAGACACACAAAGCACTTCCAGCGTCTTACTGCTTTGGAAACAATCTTTATGTAACAGTCTAATCATGTTACAAAACTTTACCCTAAAATATCATTATAGCTTCAGATTATATCTTCTAGCAAACATGTTTAATTTTTTAAGGTTCTTGCTATGGTAATAAGTCTTAATTGTCAAGGATTTTATTAAAATCGTTTTGCTTACATTTTCTTCTAATGTTTTTATTTTTAAAAAATTAGCTCTTTAGGGGGCTGGGATTGTGGCTCAGCAGTAGAGCGCTCCCCTAGCACAGGCGAGACCAGGGTTCGATCCTCAGCACCACATAAAAATAAAGGCATTGTGTTGTGTCCCTCTACACCAAAAAAATAAACATTTTTTTTTTTTTTATTAGCTCTTTAGGGCTGGGGTTGTGGCTCAGTGGCAGAGCACTTGCCTCACGTATGTGAGGCACTGGGTTCGATCCTCAGCACCACATAAAAATAAGCAAACAAAATAAAGATATTATGTCCATGTATAACTAAAAAAGTATTTTTAAAAAATTACCTCTTTGGGGCTGGGCTTGTGGCTCAGCGATAGAGCGCTTGCCTAGCATATGTCAGACCCTGGTTTAATCCTCGGCACCACGTAAAAATAAATAAATAAATAAATGTATAAAAAATTTGAAAGAATTTTTTAAAAATTAGCTCTTTATTTCATCTGGCATTTAATGTGGTATAACTAAGATGAGTGTTTTCCAAATGACAGCCATTATACTCAATTCATGTCATCTTTATATTAACTCTGGGTTCAATTCTGTTTCCTTGATATAGTTATCTACTTATGTGCCAGTTCCACACATTTTAATCCAATGGATCATGTATCATGATTTACTTAGGTAAGTCCACCTGCATTGTTCTCACAAATAAACTGCAAAACCATTTGGGCATGTTTCAAGAATATTCCCATTGCAGTTCTGCTACAGTTATAGATTTGGGGGAAGCTGACATATTTATATTAGTGTTTCTAACTATGCAATAATGAAAATTATGCTCCATCCTTTTCATTAATGATGCTATTTATTCAATTTCCTTATCTACCTAACATTTCCAAAATAATGTCAAATACTAATAAGAACAAACCTCTTTGACCACTTCCTAACTTCAGTAAGCATTTCCAGTATGTGATCATCAGTAAGCATAATACTGGCTATTAGTGTGAAATATGTGTTTTCAAAGTACATTTATTGTACTATTATTTATTTAAAACAGGATATAAAATATCATTCAATTATTACTTTATTAAGAGTTTATTTGAACTGATTGTCAAAATATATAACATTTTACAATAGCCAACAAACACCATGAGATTCTCTTTTCCTTTCACCTAAAACAAATAAAATTATGTATTAAGTCATCCTATCATTCCTGAAATAAACTCCTTTTGGTCATGTAGTATTTTCCTTTATCATAATGCTAACCCTATCTGCTAATATTTTATTATAATGCTCATATCTAAATATATAAGCAAAACTGGTTAGAAGGAGTTCACCATTGTTGTTTCCTTTATTTTTCTATATGGGTCTCACTATGTTGCCCAGGCTGACCTCAAATCCTGGGATCAAGTAATCTTCCTGCCTCAGCTTCCTGAGTAGTTGGGACTATAGGTGCATATAACATAACTTTGGAGGTTTGGTTTTGACCTTTATCCATTTTGGGAGGAGGGAGTTATCCTTCTTTCTTTAAATAGATTTAATTATCTCTGCCAATATTTCAATTTATTCAACAAGCATTTATTAACAAATACTGTGGACTTGTCAGACACTGGCACTATACAGATAAAAAATGATCTGTGTTCCCATAAAACTCATATGTTGAAACCCTAAATCCTCAGTGTGATGGTAAGAGGAAAAGGGGTTAATTAGGCTTTGAGGATAATCCTATTCATGGGATTAGTGCCCTTATAAAAGGGACCTCTCTTGCCCTTTGTCACCATGTGAGAAGGGGGTCACAGGAAGATGACAGCAGTCTTAAGAGAGAGGAAACAGGTCCTCATCAGACACCTGTACCTTGATCTTGGACTCTCCAACCTCCAGAACTGTAAGAAACAAGTGTTGCTGTAAAAGCCACCCAATCTATAGTAATCTTTGTCATTGCAGCCAAGACTAAGAAAATATATAACCCTGGTGCAAAATATTATGTGAACAACAATGAAGAAATACATACGGAAGTGTACATATGTATGATCAATACAATACCAAAGCTACAGAGGGAGACTTCACAGAATTAAAACCTAAAATCTTAAAGGCAAGTATGAGAAACAGAAAGGAGAATAAATATTCCAAAACTTTTTTGTGAAGAAATCATTTACACTTGCTCTCAAATAATTGTAAATAGTATGTTTACATTTCCTATAAGATAATGCTATGTTACTAATGGCAACCTGAAATTGTGTATTGGTATGATTATTAGCAAGGCCTACATTTCTTCCCACATTATGTACATAAGACTTAATATTTGTAGATTTTCTTGTTTTTAAAAACTCATCCTTAATTCTTGGGTTTTCCCACTACTCTTTCAAATTTACCGTATTTCTTATTGTTCCCTGTGGCTTTCTACAATCTTTAGCTATTCAGCATTTATGAACTCCAAAACTCAAAGAACTAGCACAGGCTGAAATATTCAGAACAAGACAAGCAGCAAAAATTTAACATTCACATTTCATCATGATGCTGGTATAGTTTTCATGTTGCATGGTCTCTTTGAGATTATGAGAATTTCTTCAACACTGATCTACAGCCAGGCTCTGATCTATCTTATTAAATTATAAAGTCTTGAATGTAAACTGAAAGAAACTCAGGATTTTTTGTAACATGGTATATGACAGAAAGTGTCCTCAGACAATACATTATGGTAATTTGAAGAGTGCAGTATGTACATAGCTGAGATTAATCATAAAACAGTACATATTGCTTGTAGTATAAAATGGCCCAACCACTCTAGAGGACAAGTGTATTCAAATTTTGAAAATGTACACACCATTTAAGCAAATTTCTTTCTATGAATTTACCCACCCCACCAAAAAAAAAAAAAAATCAATGGATATATAGCTAAGAACATTCATTCAGTGCATCAGTGTTTTATAATACTGAAAATTGCAAATTTTCAATAGGAAAAGATGTTCAAATAAATGCAATGGAATATTATAAAGTCATGTGAAATTACCAAAATCTGTAAGAAATGATGGAGAAAGATGGTCAAGGCAATTTATGAAAAAAAAAAACATAAGACATCATATTATGCTTAGTCGTACTAAAACAGCAGGCATTAGTTAAATGTATATACTAATAAAAATTTTATTTATCTATAAAAGTTACATTTAAATAAATTTAAAATTAAGTTCCTCAGTCACACTAGCCACATTTCAACTGCTTAAAGAGCCACATGCAGCTATTGGCTACCATTTCTGACAGAGCAGATATGGAATATTTCCACCATTATAGAAGTATTACTGAATAGAAAAGGAAACAGAAATAATGAAATAAACATATGTAGGAAAAAAATGACTATAGTGAAACATGAGGATTACAAATTGGAAGCCAACCTGGGCAACTCAGATTCTTTATCAAAATAAAACATAACAAGGTCTTGGAATATACCTTAGTGGCAGAGCACCTCTGGGTTCAATCCAGTACAGGGGGGAAAAAAACTGGAAACATTTAAACAACAAATAACAACTTTTAGTTGTTAGTAATACATTGGGTTTTTAAGTTTTTGCTCATCTTATTTTCTAAATTTAAAAATAATCAACTACAATGGATTTTCTATGTACTAAAATCAATTTTTTTTAAAAAACAATGAAATTTTTAAAAATAAAATGCCCCAGCTGTAAATAAAGATTGCAGATTAATTTTTTTCTTTTTTTACAAAAGGGGAAATTATGGAACAAACTACAAACTTAGAGAAGTATTTTTTCAATTACTACTTTGCTGCTTTGAAAATGTCTTTTTTAAAAATATTTTTTTAATTGTCAATGGACCTTTTTTTCTATTTATTTAAATGTGGTACTGAGAATCAAACCCAGTGCCTCACACATGCTAGGCAAGCACACTACCACTGACCCACAATCCCAGCCCATATATCATTTTTTTAAATCTCTTTCTTTGCAATTTATTTAAAAAGGGATTACTGAGACCCACTAACAAAGTTTGGGGATTTTGCCCTGTATCCAAATGTGAGTTATCCTAAATCTGACCATAAGTTATTATAGCTATTAATTTATTTTAACGTAAGATGAATTCTTCTTATGCTTCCTTAAAATGAAGCATTACCTAGAAAAGTGAAAAAATATCAATAGTCACACATATCAGCTCAAATCTGAGTTTCCTCTCAAAAAATAAGTAAGAGTGTGTCTCTATGTCATTCTTTCCATCTGAGCCTCCATGGTAGCAAATGATTTTTATCTCACATCTTTTATAGCAAGGCAACAGTTTCCATGGAAACCACAAGGCAAACATCCACTACTGCTTCCAAGGACATTGTAAATACACGTAAACTAAGGTACCAGCTTACTTTCTCTTATTAATATTTTAAAATTCAACAATAGTTAGCTACTGCTTTTGTTGTGTTGTCTCTGTGAATAAATCTATAGGTAAGTAATTCTATGCCCCTCAAGCATCAACCAGCATCTAGAAATCAGGTATGTGTGTGGTGAAGGGCAGGAGATTCCAGAAAGCTGTGGAGCCAGCATGTATTCCAGATGATGTCATCTCTTACAAGTAAGACAGCAAATCAGAATAGAAATCAGTGAAGCACTTAAACAAAAAAGACAAAACCCCCTTCTAATAGCATGGTAGAGCATATAAATTTAACTAGGCCAAGAAGCTGATTAAAATAAGGGGGAAAAGGCAAAAATAAATCACAACCAAAGAAGTGGTCACTCACCTCTCTCAACATATTGTTTTCTTTTTCCTTCTGTTCCAAAAGGCTTTCTAGGTGGTGGACATGCATCTCTGCCTCTGCCAGCCGTCTTGTTCTTTCATGGTCTTCCTCAGTAGCCTTGGCAGACAGACCTTTGCTCTGCAACATCTCCAAAAGCTTCTTAATGGACTCATCCCGAGCATTTAAGGTTTGCTTCTGCGTCTCAATACGAAGCTCCATTTCCTCCAGGGTCTTTCGTAGAAGGAACAGCTCTTTGGCCTGCCGCTCATGCTCAGCATGCAGCCTCTGGAAGTTCTCCTCTGTCAGCTCTGCTACACAAGGTTCACCTGTCCTACTGCTACTGTCTTGCTGAAACAACTGATTCAGGTCCCTCTGGATTCGCAATTCATCCTGGAGAGCCTGGATTGTCATCTGCATGTGCTAGAACCAAGACAAAAAGAAAAACCCAAATCAGCTTTCCCTCTCAAGTAGCAAAAACAGAGCAGCTTGGGAGGAGCTGAAAATAGCTACAAGGTCTGCCTTCAGCAAATCAGGATTCAACTTATTCTGTTTTATAGTTTCTTTAAAAACAACTGAGATAATCTGCAAAATGTCAGTAATTCAACTTGCATTTACTCTCAACATGAAGTATTCTACCACTGAGCCACATCGATAGCCCTTTTTATTTTGAGACAGGGTCTTGTTACATTACCAGACCGGCCTCAAACTGCTCAGCCTCCAGAGTCACTGGGATTACAGGTGTATGACTCTGCAACCGGCTCCAACATGTGTACTATTAATTTCGATTTTCTGACAAGGACACTGAGCTTAAGGAGGTTTAAGTAACCTAAGAACACATGGTGACAGAACTGGCTTCAGAGAATCAGTATCTTAATACATCTTTTTATTTTAAAGATCTATTTTTTAGTTATAGGTGGACACAATATCTATTTTATTTTTATGTGGTGCTGAGGATCAAACCCAGTGCTTCACACATGTTAGCTAGTTAATACATCTTTTGATTGAGAATCTTGATCTTCTACAGTTGTTAAAAATCTTTAAAATATGCTGGCATTTAAATGCATTTTAAGAATCATATTCATAAATTAAAATACCTAATAATTTATTATAAGTTTATTCTTGGTAAGAAAAAGTAGTGCTTTTTAAGCATTAGAAGACTACTTGCTAATAAAATAATACCCCAGCTGGAAACTATTTTAAAAAGCTGATGTCTTTGCATTAATAACAAAAAACTGGGGGTTGGGGTTGTTGCTGTGTCACAGAGCACTTGCTTATTGTGCCAAGGCCTGGTTTCAAGCTTCCAACAAAGTACTGCAAAAAATAAATAATACCCTCTAACCCTCCCCTATTCTTCCCTTTAAAAGTCACCATAAACATTGTGAAAAGAAAAATTAAAAGAGTTCAAAAAATATTTGTAACATACACAGGAAGTAAAAGATTATTTTCCTAACATAAAGATGTCTTAAAATAGATTTTTTTAAAAATGTCCCAGTAATAAAATGGGGAAGGACAAGAACAGCTGAGTCACAAGAGGGAATACATAGTGCTAGTAGATATGTAAATAGATATTCAGCCTTACTTACAATAAAAAAAAAAATGTAAAAAAATAAAATAAAAAAGAAATTAAAATAACCAGTCAAAAGTATGGGGAAATGAGACTGAGTGCTGTGGTGCAGGCCTGTAATCCCAGCTGCTCAGAAGGCTGAGGTGAGAGGATGGCAAGTTCAAAGCCAGCCTCAGCAACTTAGTGAGACCCTGTCTCAAAATAAAAAATAAACAGGGCTGAGGTTAAGTGGCTCAGTAGTTAAGTGCCCTTGGGTTCAGTCCCCAGTAATCACCCCCATGCACCCCGCTCCAAAAAAAAGTATGGGGAAATGAAATGGCTATTTCTAGACATTGCATGGTGGAAGTTTAAATCTGTAAAGGCACTTTGAGAAATAATTTGTATGCCCAAATTGAAATTGTGCATACTTTAATCCATCATTTACATCTTTGCCAATTTATCCTCAAGAAGAGTTTGGATATGTGTACAAAGATAGGTGTACAAAAGTACCATTCACAATAGTGAAGAATATTTATTAGTAGTTATAAATAAAATAATTTAATATCCGTAAGTAGAATTCTATGCAAATATCTTCCCAATTTTTTATTGAGGTAAAATACATACAGCATAATATTTATCATTTTAACTATATTCAAGTATGCAGTTTAGTGGCATTAAGTACATTTATATTGCTATAAAATCATCACTACCATCCAACTTGCAAAATTGAGATTCTAACCAATTACACCAGAACTTCACATTCCCTTCTCCTCTTAGCCTTCTAGCAGCACTATTCTACTTTCTATTTTCATAAATTTGACTATTCTAGACAATCATGGAAGTGGAATCTATAGTTTGTGTCTATGATTGTATCTCATGTCACCTAGCCTAATGTCCTCAAGGTTCATCTGTGTTGTGGCATATATCATAATTTTTTCCTTTTTAAGGCTGAAAAACATATGTAGGCATTTTTTTAAAATATTTTTGAATGAGTAAAATACATTCAAATGACTCAAAATTGAAGAGTTGAGGGGAGGAGGAGATGGGGTGTGACTGCTAATGGTCAAGGATTATTGGTGACAAAATGTTCTAGAAGTAGGTAGGGTGATTGGTGTAAAACATTTAACATGCCGAAAGCCACTAAATTGTATACTTTGAACAGGTGAACTTTATGGTATAGGAATTCATATCTTAAAAAGCTGTTTTTAAAAAAAGCTCAAGAGGAATAAAATAAGTACATTAAAATGTTTTTAGAAATTTCCCCTCAATTATTCTAGTTTTTTAAAAAATGAAAATTACTTGGGGGGGGGGGTGCTGGGTTTGTGGCTCAGTGGTATAGAGTACTTGCCTAGAACAAGTTAGGTACTAGATTCGATCCTCAGCATCACATAAAAATAAATAAACAAAATAAAAATATTGTGTCTATCTATAACTAAATAAAATAAAAATAAAAATAATTTTTTTAGTTGTAGATGAACATAGTACCTTTATTTTATTTATTTATTTTTATGTAGTGCTAAGAATCAAACCCAGGGCCTCGCATGTGCTAGGTGAGCACTCTACCATTGAGCCACAAACCTAACCCTGTATACTCATTTTAAAATCAAAATTGGGATCATCCTATACTTGCAAGGCATGTCCTCTACCACTGAGCTACAGCCTCAGCCCCTATAATCTGTGTTTTTATACTTAAAGATTATATATTGTGACCATAGATTTTGTTAATAAATATAAACCTAAATTGTTCTTAATTTATGCAAAGTATTAAATTCTGTAGAAGTTTCTTTCAGTGGACTGTGAGGACTATTTTGGTTTGAGTGCCAGTTCTGTCACCATGTAATTCTCTGAAGCCTAGTTTCTTTCTTTACCCTCTAAAGTTACTTTTCTTAGTGAATTTATGCCAAAAAAAAAAAAAAATGAGAAGTTCAATAAGAAAACTGATTTCTAGGTATAACCATTCCTCCTTTTTTGAATATTTATCATTAATTCACAGAAGCCAGGAGAAGTATATGTTGGCTAAGGCTAATAGTGTCACACATTGACACATATGATTAAATCTAGTGTGGCAATTTTTTGATGAAGAAAATACAAACTACTGATGTGTCTATGAAGCTCTGCTCCCACCCAGTTCACTATAAATTTAAAACAATGCTCTGATGGGTGGCCTAGAAGGCAATTTTCTCCTCAAATCAGCATTCTCTCTTTAGGCTACAATCACGCTAGATTTATAAAAATTCCTGCCAACTGCTTTGGAAGATAAAAAAAGAAATAGGCTAAAAGCCAGGCTACTCCTTCTCTAGCATGTTCACAAGAAGATAAAATGAGCATACTCACAAACTTCATATACATTTAAACAGATTCACTGATTTTAGTGGAAAGATCTCTTAGGAGAATTTCTATTCCAGAATTCTGCTCCTGACACTGCAAAATTATCTTACACTCCAAATTTTATAACACCCTACTAGTCTACTTTTCATTCTAAACTTAGCTTAATAAAACACTTAAATGTAAAACACTAAAATTTACTCTAAGGATTATGCTACTATTACACCAAGCTGGACCTCAATGAAATGGGAGGATTCTGAGAATAACAACAGTGAAAATTCTTCAATACCTGACAGGGACCTATGACTTTTATTAGAAAAATTATCATGATTTTCTCTTTCTTTCACATTATAATTTTTATCTATTTAACTTCCCAATCAAACTACATGCCTTTTGAGGGTATTAACTCCTACTTGCATTTGTGTCCTCACCATATGGCACCATGCCTGGTACACAGATGGTCCTCAAAAAAAAATTTTTTTTTTTTAGTATTTGCTGAATCAATGAACTAATGGGATTGTTTTAATTTAGTTGTTTTTTGCCTATTTAACCTTTCTACCTTCCTAACTATACTGATAAGTATTGTCAGACTTAGGATGTTTTAGGAATAACATTCTGTTCACATCTCCTGTACATCTACTTATACTCTTTAATATGTTGCCTGTTCTTTACTCTCCATCATAAGGCTATAAATTGGTTTGAATTGGTTTCCAGGAATTTTATTACACTGAGATTATTCATCCATAGTTCTCCTGCTTCAAAAGACAAGAGACATACCAATGATGTCTCCTTTCCTACTCTTTAACTACAGAGAAGAAACAGAATGGAGCTGCAACAAATCACAGAAGGCATCATACAACTAAGATGACTATATATACACTGCTTTGCCACAAAAGTTATGAGATTCAATTCTGCAGCTTTCTTAGAAGTTGGTTCAATTTAACCAGCATACTACTGTGGGGATGAGAAAGAAAGAACAGGAAAAAGGAAGGAAGGATTTTGTGAAGAGAAGCACTGAAACAAAGTAGTATCCCAAACCATACATCACAATAGTAAAAATATATTAAGCAATGCCAAGATTAAAGAGACTCATTCATTAAAAATAACATCAATTATTACTTTCTAAAAATGTTAAAACTAAAATTAATCACCAATCCGATTCCATAACAACCATGTCCTTAGTAATTAGCTTGAGAATGCTGTTGGTAATAAGCAATGGGAGGAATTACAAGGGTCTATAAAGTTACTGTTCATTCTAGCACCGTTTTCTTTTCTTTCTTGGTGCTGAGAATCAAACTTAATAGAACATATTAAGTACATGTTCTACCACTGTGCTATACCCACCAGCCCCCCAAAAATATTTTCTTGCTTCACACTCTAACCCCAAAGTTTCAAGCATCTGTAACAGAGGTAAGTGAGGTATACAAAATTTCCAAATTTGGTCACTGAAATAATAGTATATAAATCAACAATGAGAAAGAAAGGCAGAGAAAAGGAAGGTTAGGTGGTAAGAATGAGCTATGAAAGCATTAACAACTCATCTTGGCAATGC